TCTCTGTCTTGCTTGGCAGATAATAATATGGTATTGGCAATTGAAGAGCGATTCATTCATTGGACGCAGTTATTGAATGTACTCATAAAGGCCCAGGGGAACTCTCAACCAATGCCAATATTGTTAGAAAAGTCTTTGAAGATCAACCACAAAAGAAGCTTAAAATCCCATTGATTATAGATGATTATAATCATCATATGAATGGGGTAGACCTAGCAAATCAATACCAGGCAGCATATACTAGTCATAGAGTCACCTATCACACCTGGCTTTCTATTCTCTACTGGCTTATTGATTCCGCAGCTATTAATGCATACCGGCTTCAATATTTATATATGAAGCAGCAGGGGATTCCAGTGAAGGATCTTCCTTCTCATATAAGCTTTCATGAGAAGCTTTACCAGGAACTCTTTGAATTCACACCTAGAATTCATGATAATCTACCAAGGAAATGATCAAATTCTAATCTAAATCATCAATGGATTCCTCTTCCAAAGCAGTGTGTTTGTGCCTGGTGTCAATATAAACGAAAGATTGGCCAGCAGAAATATAAAAAGATAGGGAGATCAAATTCTGGCTGTTCAGAGTGTCAAAATACCCTTTTATGTTTGAAAACTCAATGTTGGGCGGAATTTCATAGTATCCTAATATCTATTTACGCGGATCCTTAATTAGGGTTTATATATTACACTAATACCAATGAATACTCAAAAATACACTGATTATTCAATGAGATCTCGTATAATATACACTAATGAAACCACCTAATTTTGCACAAACCTACGGACGAGGGGATAACAACTGATTAATAATATATGCTGAGGGCGTGTTAAAAGGTGTTTGATGGGTTGTAGATTTTAGTGGCTGAGTGAATGGCTTAGCCAATCATGGTTTATTTTTCAGACCCACTTTTTTTAAACCACATTCAACTGTAACCCGGTGCAGTGGATCTCTAATCTGGGGAAGTAATCTAGATTCAAAAGTGAATGATCATACATAATTATAAAATTTCTTCATCTTTGAATTTTTATTCCATCTCCATTAGGAGGGGATATATGTTTAATTATGCTTAATATTTGATGATCTGAGTAATTCAGTAATGAAATAGAGGCTGCTATGTGGTTCCCCACTATGGTGCGGCTGGCGGTCGCAGTGTATAGATGGTGGGTTGGATGGCCACGACTGCTGTGGGCCGGGCCACATCACCACACCTTATCTCAGCAAGCTCAGCTGCTTCGCAGGATAATTGCTGTTTTAACACTGATTTAATGATTCGTCACTCTTTTAAACAAGTTAATTTTAAATTGATAATGAGCTAACTCAAATAAGTCTTTGATTTTGTGATATGCAATTATTTTGCAAAGTGTCTGAGAAAAAACAGTTTCAGTTTATTAGCAATATGGAAACAATTTGCTCTATACCTTAGGCATGGGTGAGAATACCAAACCAACTCCATTCAGCATCTTTGTATCATCTTGAGATTTAGAAAAATCAATGTTCTTGTGATGATATCAATTTTTATTTTCATATTCTCATTTCTTAGATAAGAAGTATCATCTCAAAGTCAACTCATTTTTTTTTAAACACAGAAATAATTTGCTATTTTACTTGATTTTAACAAGAAATAAAATAGCTATTTTCAACAAGATACATCTATATTAAATATTGATTTTTTTAATATAAAAATTATATATTTATATTCTTCTTTTCTTTAGCTACAAGCTAAGGTGGTTTACAAATATCAAATATGTATGATTATTATTATTATTATTATTCTTCCGTTATACTCATATGTTATGACGAGTCCTTGTGTATTGTTAAATACAGGCAAGAGTTGGTTATACAAAAGGAATGCTTAATGTTGAATGATGTCAAGAATATAACAGAAACATAGAAAAATTAATGAAAGACAGAATTTGATACTTGTAATACAGGTTTTCAACTTAGAAATAATAATTTAAATCAGATAATAGATCCATCTGAAGGTATCTACTTGGCAGATTCACATCCCTTTATTTTAGAAGCTGAGAAGTTGGCTCTGAATGTAATGTTGTCCCCTTATGGATTTCGAACCCACGCGCCTTAGGTCCCCACACCAAGGCGCTACCTGGTGGCTGCATTACCCATTCGGCCACCGGGGCCAAATATGTATGATGATTGTGTAATTGGAAGTCAAAGTTGAACAATTTGAATAATCTATGAAAATCTTAACAATCTCCACAGAAGGATGAACCATTTCTTCTCAGATTCTCTGACAAGGATTGCTCTGAGCACATGACTTGTAATTAAAGTAGTTTAGTGTCATGCTGCTGCAACCGGAGCCATAGAGGGTCTGAGCTCGCTGAGATAAACCACACCCACAGGTATATATATCACTATGAGCGCAAACCATTCAACAAATGATTACGTTGGCTTTGTGCTATGGATAACCTAGTGGTCATAGTGCTATCTTTCTATCGCATGCTTATCTACCAGATATTCAATCAATTGCTATGAG